TATATATATATATATATATATATATATATATACTCACACTCACACACACACACACACACACACACCTATACAAAAGAGCATGAATACGCAAAATGTACATATTTACTATAGTATGGAGAAGCCTGGGTTCTCTGCTGTTTGGATGATAAGTTTGAGAACAAAGCAATTCAAGATCTATTTTAAATAAGAGAATAGTTCATATTCATTTGACAACTCCCTGACGTCAAGAAGATGCCTGTACTGATGTGATAACTATGCAAAGTGTTACGGCGGACATGACTATGAATTTGGATTCGTCCCGAATTTACGGTGTGTGAGTGCACACTCGATGATGTGTATGGAAGGTGTGAACTCTCTATAGGGTCAACACGGTATATACCTTTCATAGGTGAAGTATGGATAGCAGTTCAGGAGGACAAGCCGTGTCCGTGCCCTCCTCATGTACAGCAACGTCAATAGTCTGCTAGCCCGTCATGGATACAGTGCAGGATATGGTGAACTTCGCGCAACAAGTACTGCAAAGTGATAGCACTTACAATCACGTATAAGAAGATTAAATAAAAGCTGAGGTTGCACCAGTATTGATGCGAGTACTAGTACGAGCGCCTACATGAATGTAATTGTGTGTACTTGCAACTGTACACAGATTCGCACACGTTAGAGGCCACGGACGAATTCGGCTTGCCACCAAAACAATATGAGCTCTACGTGAGCCCGACAGGTGAACCCTTAATGGGCCACTTCGCATTTCGGAAGTGATGATTGTCTCTGGTATTTTTATTTTGTAAGTGTTAACTGACTTACAATGAGATAAATCGGTCGACAGTTGTGGTTTTCTCCGATAATGATCTTGTATTGTACAGTTCGACAGGTTTCTTCTTCACGCAGTCATATTGCACATTCAAATAGCAAAATATGATGAGCTCCCACAGTTATGGTACCTATATTTCGAATTAATACACAACGACATTCGCTACGAACTGAATGAAAAGGGTTTTTGAGCAAGCTACAGTGAATTGGCTCGGGATTAATTAAAGTGCGATAGCAAGAATGACTGTCCAGTACACCACTCCGATATTGAATTAATTTCACAATTCGATGTTGAATTCTTTTCACACACCAGTGTATGTTAGACTCGATCGATACCCTGTGCCGTTAAAAAGATTGCATGTTCCCAAATGTTGGCAATGGTTTTCGCCCATGTAATATTGACACATCATGCCGACTAATAGTCCAAGTTGGTCGGCAATACATGTTCGCGAAAAAAAAAATGCAATATACATTGTTGTTACAAAATGTTAAGTTTCTTGTGCACGTATACAAGGGTGACATGAATTTAAAATTTTATCGGCTGAGCTGGTAATCTATACGAGTTCGATGCGTGTGTCGTATGTATTTACATTGTCAGGTATGTACTTATTTACCACTAATATATGACTCGGATACGTTTGTTGTACGTATTTACGTAAAACAGGTATATGATTCGGACGCGTGTATTGTAGGTGTTACATACAAGAAGTATATACACATTGCATACAAGGCAACATATTAAACTCCAAGCACCATATTTCCGTCGTAAAACCATAGCTCATAGACTTACAATTTATTATAGTTGTTTTTCTTTCAAGGGTCGGATTAAGCTAACGTTCAAACTATCGTAATATTTCATTCGCAACCTGAAACTACCATGTTTCCATTGTCTACAGAATATATCAATTTATCCCGTGACGCTACCATACTCCTGGTCTCGGCTTGCTGTAAAATCCACTAGATTCACAAAACGACTTAGTACATTATTGTGCGCCCAATAAAGAAGTGACAATTCCTAGACTATAAACTTGGTTGACAATTATATACAATCAGCCTGCTGTGCATAGTGTTGCCATAAGAAGCTAATTATTAGTAGAAGCAGACAACTCTGGTTGGTTTTAGAAGTTGACCAATGGTTGTTCTTAGACATGCAAAATTCAAAAAGTTTTTACTTTTACTAATATACAAATGCGTCAAAAGTGTGGTCAGTGTTATCTGTCTTCGATTCTTGTCTCTCGAGTAGATCACTGCCGCATTTTTAACGGCGACATGTCGTCGCTTGTCTGCGCAACCATGCCCCTAAACATCTAACCTTGTTCTGGTGACCACAGCTCGACCCAAGCCCATCCATGCAACCTGTCACTCAGACGTACTTTAAAATCGAAGGTCCAGCGTATTGGTGTAAACAACACACGTTTCAGCGCGTGCTACTTGCACATACAAACTTCACGCATCAGGTATAGTACACCGCCACTGACCGACGAGTAGGAAAGGCGGCACAAAGGAAGCCCAATCTACCTCCCTTCCCATGGTATCCATGGCACGCATGCACGTACTGCGATAGAGGAACAGTATGGGATGGCCGTTCACTACTAATAACCCAAGGCCAATCCTGAAAAAGAACTGACCTCAAGGCCTAATATGTAGTTGTTTGCAATTGGTGTGTCCAGATCTGCTCCGTGCACTGTACACATCCTATAGTCTTCCTTGCGCAAAAGTATGCGCGTTTAATGCTATCACCAACCCTCGGGATCTGATCCTCCCCAGTTGCCACCGACACCCCAACTCGCCTCAACGTCAGCCTGAAGCAGAGAGTTTCAACCGTTTAGAGATCAAAGCGTTTTGGAAAAGTGGTTCAAACGCGTAGTGTGCCAAAATAATATGGACTGCCGTAAAGCATCTTGCGAGCTGTTTGCAACTCGAAGCTTTTAAAAAGAATTGTCGATGTCACGAAGCACTCTCAAAACCGTGCATGTTCATGAATCTTCGAGAAGATGTATAACCAAAAGCACACAAATCTAAACAGAGGAGAAAACAATGCGTGCACCATCCTCACCACTCAATCGGCAATAGACAATAAGACAATGGTGTGCGTCAAACAAAAGGAGAACTGCGCGGAATTTATAGTTGTCTATCTTAGAACTATTTGACCGGTAAAAAGTCGAAAGAACATTGAAATGACATTCATATACGCACACACTTTAGCAGGATACGTGTACGTACAAAGCACTCTCGTAGAGAAATCAGTAGGATGACATGACACACATGCACATACATACACACACATGTACACATACGTCGGGAGTGAATGTCTGATTCGACGAGGCGGCTTGCTCAGCCAGTTTAGCTTCGTATTCGGCCTTCTTGGCATCCAACTCCTTGCTCTTCTCGACGATCTCCTTCACCTTCTCCACACACTCGGCAACCTTTGCCTTCTCACCTGTTTTTTGGCAATAGAACCCACACGTGCATAGACAATATATGAGTAAAACGGTCGCACGGGTGAACTTGCTACACAAGTGCACAGCAAACCAACACAGACGTACATAATCCCCGGCGTGCATATCGAATGAGCGAGTGCGAGTGTACAAACTAGGTCTTTTCTTGGGTTGATGCGTATCTGCTGACAAATTATCATATACCCTGCAGTGCTTGTTTGTTTGCATACTTGTCAGATAACGACAAACTGTTTGACATTTGTCGGTAATATATATATATATATATATACATTTATATATATGTATATATGTATATATATATATAAATATACATTCATACATACCGTAGATACGGCACGAGGTCAGGCCACGAGGGATGTCGATCTTGGCACCGGTCTGCTCTTGTAACTTCTTGATGTTGGCTCCTGCTGAACCAATGATGTTACCCACAGCCGTTCCTACGTCAATCTCCTCAAGAACCTCGCCCTGTGGGGCAGCAACAACGTAGCCAGGAGAGCGTCAGTATGCGTACATGCAGACAGTAGCCTTGTGAGAGAAGCTGATAAGTCATGAATAAAAATTATACACAAACACAGACCAAAAAGTATACAGATCTGGCACGCAGCCTTAAAGACATACATCAATCTATTGCATTGTGTATTAAAAAATGCACACAAGTACACGACCAATGTCCACACATCCAAAAGATGCAGGATGGTGAACATTGACGCAAAGAATGAAAACGGTGCGCAGAACGAGCCAACCAACAGTCTAACCTTGGAGAGCTTGGGCAGGGGTGGGGGCTCCGAGAGCGTCTTCTCAATACTAGCCTTGGCTGCATTGACGGCGTCCTGGGTTCCACTGATGCGGATGACCTCAGTACCGCTGCCACTGTGGTCACGATCAATGTCCAAAAACGCGCCGGTGTCGGCCTGCAATTGCCGAATGGTGGCACCTCCTTCACCGATTAGCAGACGCACATCGTCGGTGCTGATGTCCATGGAGTGGAAGCACGAGTGCTCTGCGATCACCTGATACCGTGGTGACATTGGCATACGAGTATTGTTTGGGGTGAGTTAAAAGAGAAGAGGGGTGGGCACCCTGTGTGCTGATCGTAGTTGTGTGAGGTCTGCCCGAGTATTGAGACGCCGCACAATACTTCGAGAGTTGACACATTACCACACAATAACGCAAGCGGACGCAAGCATGGCACATGCCACCGTGCATACATATACATGAGCGTTCATCAAGTATTAAACTATACACACCAACCGAAAACAAGCGCACTAAACAGGAACACCTCAATCGTACACACTTTGCTGATCATCTCGGAGGCCTGCATCACCGCTGTGGAGTCACCGCTGATCACACAGAAGGATTTGGCGGCGCGCTCAATGTCGATCTTGGCGTTGGTCGTGTCCTGGATGTGGCGGATGGTCACACCCTTCTTACCCACCACGGCACTGATCATGCGCGTCTCAATCTCGCGTCTGTACGTGCTTTCCGGGGGAGGGGGCTCCATAATCAGCATCACGGCAACCCGCGCGGCCTCGACCTCGGCAGGTTGACCACCGATGGTGATGGTGTTGGTGTCCTTGTCGATATCCAAGCGTGCACCTGAGTCTTGCTGGATGCTCTTGATGTTCTCACCTCCTTTGCCGATAACGGCTCCCATCTTGTCCTGCAGGTCGATCACCACTTGTTGTCGGCTGTCAACCAGCTTCTGCGCGTCGCCAACGATCTTCTCGATACGGTTCACGGCCGCCTGGTGTTGCGATGATACGAAGTCGGGATTAAGCAAGCGCAATCAGCAATCAAGACAGCTGGAGAGCGCCTCAGCGCATACGTATATATGATCAGTGATAACAGCGCTATCTTTGTAGGACAACTTCTAAAATAAGTGCAGACGGGTAACCTCAAAGGAAATGTTCGTATGTATAGGATAGGACGCCCAGGTGTACGAACAAGCGCAAGCACATAGTTTCATAAACCTTTCTAGCTACGGATTGTATGTGGGTTGGTTGTATGGTTAGGAATAAGAGCTTCTAGGGACACAATAAAGACTTTTTCACCCTTCCTCTACCGTTTCAGTATCACATGGAATGGCACCGAGAGCCAAACACGCGACTCTAGAAAAGAAACGAAACACAAATCACACAATCTGAAGCAACATAATCAACCAGGATTCATGAACAACACACACTTGTACGCGTTTGACAAGAGCAAATACGTCCATGAGCAGGAATATCCTTAACAACACGCGAGCCACTGCAACACTAGCTGCCCCTATTATTTAGACACAACATCGACATGCTGCAATGGGGTACAAGTCTCAATGACAGACGGAATAAAAAAGTCACCGATCCCAGGCAGAATGAGTGATCACAGCTCAAAGCAACCGATAACAAGACTACGCCAAGATACACGGATATACACGAGTATCAAGCTTCTCCGAGCCCATGCATACTATACTCGCCATACTACACACAAACCTATATAATTGTACAAACACATCACACTCGAACATACCAATAATCTACAGACACACCCATACAATAGCAACACCAAACATATACCTATACACACACCTTGACACAGTCGGGTTCTCCAGTGATGGTGGCGTCGTTAGAGCTGCGGTCCAGATCAATCTTGGCTCCAGTGCTGCTCTGGATCTCCTGGATCACTGAGCCCTTAGGGCCAATAATGGCCAGCACGTGGTTGCCGCAGTTGATAGTGGCGGTGCTACCACTCTCATCGATAGTAGCCTGTGTGTAATGTACGACAGCGTGAGTATATACACATACATGTCCATAAACATATACCCATATATATATATATATATATATATATTAACGTTGCAAAGCACACTACCAGACAAAGCTGCTATATACTGTGACCGGCAAATGTGTTTGAATTGTCGTGCATCCTAAAAAGATTGCTGTTATGTGGTGAACCATGAGTTGTGCTTAAGCGTGGAGCGTAATGGTATGTCCTTAGTTAACCGTGACTGCTTTGATACCGCCATCGTTCTATCATTCTGAGCAGTACACGCCTAATAAATGCAGACTGCGTAATAGACTGCAAAATTAACGAGATGCATAGGTCACGCCACTCAGAACAGGATGTATCTCATTTACAACAAATAAAGGAAGAAAGTATGGCCTCAGAGATTGTAAGTGTCTAACATTAAGATCTTCAGACATATGCTTGTCAATTACGGATCGTCATAGGCCATACCCAGGAGGAAATATGCAGTGTTACTACAAGATTATATATCACATCCAATAGCTATACTACTACGCAATAACTCAGGTGTGTATGTGGCAGTGCTTGGATGTATAGCCAGCGATAGTATGAGTCACCTTCGAAGTTACTGTGACGTATAACTAGAACAGAGTCCGCCCACACAAAGTAAGTGGTATGCAGCTACCTAAGTTACAACAGCCAAAGACGAATACAATAGCTATATTTGCAATATACGAGTACAGCGTAACTATCTCCACACATACACACCTCCTCAATAACCTTTTCCTTGGGCTTCTTTTGCTTTGACTTGACTGTCTCCCACTCGTCATCGGCCTCGAATGCCTCCTTGGTGATGTGCTCAGTCGTTCCCATAACTGTACCAGCAGGGAGGGTCTGCTCCTTGACTGCCGCCTTTTTCTTCTTCTTCTTGTTCTTTTTCTTCTTGGGGGCAGCCTACAGGCGAAAGTGGTTGATTGAAGCGGTGGGTGCATGAACATGAGTGCTGGATAGAACGGAATAATGGCGTTTAAGAAGTAGTACATGGTCGCATTAAAAGTAGTGAGTGATCGCTCGATATGGAGGAAGAACAACTGCAGAGAAAAAATACGCAAGTGCATTAATATAGGTGAGAAAAAGTCAATGTAGGGGACGTAAAAGAGTATATATGTATATATACACACATATATATATATATATATATATACATATATATATAAATATCAATATCAAAATATATATATATGTATATATATAGGCAAACATCTATATATATATATATGTGTGTGTGTGTGTATGTACATATACATATAAAAATATATATATGCATACAGCTAAGTACATAACTTACATACATATTCATGCACAATCTTTCTTATGACAGAAGGGAAAATACATACAATATCAATATATATATATATATATAATATGTGTGTGTGTGTGTGTGTATATACCTCGGGCTCGTCTGTCTCTTTCTCGGGCTCTTCGTCAGCTTCTTCGCTCACTTCTGGCTCGGGCGCTTTTGCCTCTTCCTCCGCTTGCTTCGCTATCTTAGCGGCCGCTTTCTTAGCCTAAAGGTAGAACGAAGTTGGATTTCAATCGATTAGAATGTAAACTTAGCCAAGAATAAGTAGGTCTACATAAAAATTACGTATGTAGAACTCGAACGCCTGTGTGAACGAAACACATACACTATTTGTCATACCAGACGGAAAATTGACTTGTAGTACGAGTTGAACTGGTACGTACATTTATACTATACTATAGTTTCAAATTCGCCTACGATATCATATGTTTGATCAATCGGAATCCCCTGATGATAGAATGGTATACACATATAACAACAAATCATATGTACCTATGGTACAACACCGCACTTACCTTCTTTGACGATGCAGGGATCATCTCAGGGGCCTTTTCGGGCTCCTCAACTTTCTCTGGCTCAGCTTCTTGGGCAGGGGCGGCGCTGGTAGTGGCTGCAGCCTTCTTGGACTTCTTTTTCTTTACAATAACCACCTGGTAACATATACGACCGAAGCGAGTTTAGTATGCGATGTTATAATAGATGGGACGGAGATTGGCATGATTAGGTTTTTATTTAAAATCATCTATTGCAGTCAACAAGTACTTACTATGACAAATAGGTACTTGCAAGCACATTTACGACGTCAAGAATCGATCACAATTTTAAAAAACCCTGAAACATAAGAGTAGCGCACAAGTTGTGGATTGAACGGAACAGAACCACAACTTAACACGGTTCAATGAAAGCAAACGGACATCAAAGCGCACAGATTCTGACATAAAAGAGTATAAATGCCACACTATTTTCTGGTGCAGAGTGCTTATAAGTTTAGATTTAAAATGTACCTCAACTAAATAAAAATGACCCTTCTCCTAGCCAAATTAATTGGTTTCAGTGTATAGGGATCGTAATATGATGCACAGCTGATACGACAACGGCGTCAAAGAATAATGAATTCCTGCTACTTTTGTTGTAGCTATTGTAACAACTGTGGCTGCACTGCGATCACGAGTTTCCATATACATTTTCTCTACTCTAATTTGCATCGTCAAGTACAAATTATAGTGTATACACTGTATGTTATTGACATAGACACGGATGAACGCTATACCTCCTCCTCCTCGGATTCTGTCTCGGATTCTTCGACTACGACAATCTTCTTCTTCTTCTTCTTGTCTTTCTTCTTCTTGGACTGCTGTTTACAACAATTCAATAGTGTGAGAACAAGACCAGAAGCGGCTGGATATATAATACAAGCTCGCTAGAATGAATATATGCGACCGCGTGTACAGCTTGAAGCAAGCTGGGATGCTCGTGATTCCACCGCAAAATATGGACAGTTTTGGCCATTACATTGTTAATCAAAACTATTGAATGTTTCGAATGATTTCAAATGGCGGTACCTAATTGTGATGCAAGTCCGACTTGCAGCAAGTGTATTGAAGCATTGAATAACTATCGAGTAGCTCATATGTAGAAGTCGAATATAAAGAAGTCTGATCAGACATACACAAGAATCTATCTACATAAGAAAAACAGCATTCTCACAATTATCACATCCACAGTGAACAGAGAGTACGAAAAATTTATTTCTATAATAAATATCGGATATTGTGTACATAGACATAGACATAGAAATATCAACATACATGTACATATATATACATATACATATATACATATACATATACATACATATATACATATATACATATACATATACGTACATATATACATATATACATATATATATATATATATATATATATATATATATGTATATATATATATAATTA